CTTGAACATTCAACAGTCCAAGTTTTCTGAATACAATGACTTTCCCTTTTCACTGAAAAGGACGACTTTTTTTATTTTTGGGCAGCCAAACTATGTCTTTTATTTCCATTTGTAAATTATTGTTTGGTTAATGTAATGCATGTGTTGTAGCAGGATTCTATCAAGTATTGAAGGAGAAGAGCAAACACTTTGACGAAAATGTGAGTGACAACAAGAGCTTGATTATCAATGTTGAGTTATCCAAGTATTTGAGGAGAGGAGGAAACGCCTTGAAGAGAAGCAATAAAAAAGAAAGCGAAGTTCATGGAGAAAAAGAGTTATCCAAGTATTGGAGGAGAGACTGTCAATGCTGAAATGGACTCTGTCAATGCTGTAAATCTCATTCTGAGTAATGAGCTGAACCATTATCACCCTTTGGCTGGTTTGATTAGTAGCTGCAAGAGACTGCTGAGCCAATTTCCAAGAAGTAAGCTACACCACATCTACAGAGAGAAGAACGCTGTAGCTGACAGACTGGCTGCTTGGAGTCATGACATTGATCTGGGTTGCTGGGTTATTGAGGACACTCCGATTTGGCTTGAGCCCCTGCTGATGGATGACACAATAGGAGTCACTAAGACCCGCATGATTATTGCTGATTAGTTGTTTTTGTTCTTTTTGCTTTTTGCTTTTTGCTTTTTGTCCTTTTTGGGGTCTTTACCCCCTGTTTCACCCCAAAAAAAAAAAGTATTGGAGGAAAGGAAGAAAGTGAAATCATAATTACACAAAGGAGAGACAGGCAATGTGGAGAGAAGAGACAGGCAACAAGCGTTTGTGTGTCCACATGTGTAACAAGTAATGGGATTGTGAATAACATTCCTCTGTTGAGGAATTTAGGTACTAAATAATTACTTGTGATGGGTATGTTTTTATGCTATCAACAAATAATAACTTGGGATGGGTACTAAATAATATTATTTTTGTGCCGTCTTCAAAAACCAAGTTAATGCTAATACTATATGTGGTTAAACCAAAGCAACAAGAGGACAAAACTAGTCAAACAGCAAGGACAAGAAAATAAACCAAAGCAACAAGAAGATATGTTGAAATCAACCATGTCGTCTTGAGTCTCACGATTAAAGGATAAAGAAACCGAAACCAAGGACAAAGAAACCGAAACCAACCCCAAACCCACCACTGGGATACATGG